TGAACTGGCTGTTGGGCCAGTGGGTTGTGTAGGGTGGGTGCACGTGAATGTGGCAGACTGGCTACTTATTGGCAGCTTTCCTGCTGAACAGGTCTTCCTGTTCTCCTGGGAAGGCAGTGGGTGCGATGTGGGTTCCAACACTGGAGTCTTGGTCTGTCTGTGTGGCCTAGGGTCCAGGCAGCCAGGGTTGTGGTCCTGCCAGCACCTGTGTAATCATGGTGGAATGAAGGTGGTGCCTCAGGATGGAGTCAGTGTCCACTGGTTCCCAGGGCAGGATGCACTCTAGCAGTGGGTTCAGTTTCAAGATGGCACTGTGCCATAGCTGCTTAGGTGGGGAGGGGAGGGTTTCTCTCCCTGGCTTCTACTATGAGACCACGCAGCTGCACAAACTGCCAGCTACTCTCTAAACCAGGTTTGGAGCCTGTGAGGACTGGAGGAATCCCTTATGACAGGTATTGCTGGTGTTTGTTGTGGCAGTGGAAACAGCTGGGATTTTTCCAGCTTACATTCTCTCCACCTGACTCTGAGCTGGTCCTTGCAGGAAGACAGCGAGGCAGAGGCAGGATGCCTTGCTCTGCTCTCTGTGGTACTGTCCCGGTCTTCCCTGCTCCACAAGAATTTCATCATTCCCCTGATGCTCTGAAGTGTATTTCTTCAGTAATTTTGGTCAAAATATAATTGTTTGTTGTTTTAGTCTCTTTTTGTGGGGGAGACAAGCACTAGGTAACTCTAGTTGGCCTTCTTGCTCCAGCCTAGATACAAATTAACTATTTTTGCTTTATGGTTACTACTTTTGTAAACAATGATGAACCATGGCAGTGCAAAGATGTTTGTCTATTCTTGTCAATCTTAGAGTTTGTTTCAATTCTGTATTATAAATATAAAATCTATATTCATAAAATTTATATTCTTAAATATTTAAATCTAGAGAGAAATATTTGTGATTAGACCATTACTGCATGGTAATAGCATTGCTTAAGCTGCTAATAGAAAATGGATCAACCTCTTTACAGTAACCTTCAAGCACAGGTACAAATTTTCATTTCATGCAAAAATTCAGGATTTACTCTTATTTTCTCATATTGGTGGGAGCTGCTGTCAGTAACTTAAAGGGAAGTACTTTTGTTTTCCACTCTTAGCTGAACAAAAGTACATACAATGTGGCATTTTTGTTAGGCAAGGCTTGTTTTTTACATTTCACATAAGAATAAAACATAATCGTTTCTTGAATAAAATGATCATACTACTAACAAAACCATCTTTGGAGGAAACACTTAATAAGAATATTTTATTTAAATAAATCCTCCAGTAGGAACTAGAGGATTCTTACCTTTATTTAGAAGGCTGTGTAAATAGTTATCTGTCAAATTTATCCGTATAGCTCACCAACATTCATTCCCTTATTGGAAACATCAATATTTCCACATTACAGTTCCCAAAAGAACTTTAAAGTTTCAAAATTCTGTGTCATTTTTGGCTTCTCTCTTGATTCTACCCTTTATTTTTTATTTTTTATTTTTTTAAAAGATGACCGGTAAGGGGATCTTAACCCTTGACTTGGTGTTGTCAGCACCACGCTCACCCAGTGAGCGAACCGGCCATCCCTATATGGGATCCGAACCCGGGGCCTTGGTGTTATCAGCACCGCACTCTCCCGAGTGAGCCACCGGGCCGGCCCATGATTCTACCCTTTATTAACGGCTTTATTAATGGTTCACTTCATATTATCTCCAACTTCACAAATTTTTTTTAGAACATTCATCAGTCTCTCACTATGATGTATCTCAGTGTCATAGGACTGCTTTTCTTTCTTTGCATTAGTTTTCAAACTGAGTCAGGTAGTCCTATTATGTGTTTTCCATTTTCTTTCTATATAAGAACTATATCGGTCTTGCTTTTTTTCAAACTGCCTTCCACAGAGATGGAAGAGATTGTTCACAATAATACAGTAACTCTTCTTCCCATTAGATTCTTTACCAAAAGATCAAATGACCTCTGTGAAATGCACCTGCACATTATCAGTGGGAACTTGATAAACTAGTCAACATAATTAAGATTTTCACAAATTTATCTAACTGATCCCATCCATAATTAACTGATTTTCAGTGTACATCCTGTTGTAATGGAAGCAACCACAGCAGCTGGCTTCTCATTGTCAAGATATTCTGCTTTCTTCTGTGATTTCTGCTGTATCATGTTCTTGATTTCGGTCTCAATCTTGTGTTTTTCCACTATGGGGGCATCATGTACTCTTTTTCTAGTGGCTTTTTCCAGAAACACCATCATCTCTTCTATACCTTTCTGTAGCTCTTCCAAAAATGAAGCCATGGTTGAGCTGGGTCAGGCAAGGGTCCTAGCTGTAGCCTTGCAGGTAAGTGAACAGAAAATGCTTCACAGAGCGCTCTCACCTCCCCACCCCCACCCCTGCACCAGATTGTGGCCTGCCGCTGGTACTCAGTGCCTCAATTCAATTCTATGATTATTAAAAAACAAACAAAACAAGATGTATACATACATAATGTGATAAAAATGACAGGTAAATGAATGTCCACACAAAAAAAGCCTAATATGTTTGGATAACTACAAGTATTTCTGTACTGCTAGAGTGAAAAGCATGAGGCAGGCTGGAGAGAGGACACTAGAGTTTGGGATACTGGTAAGGAGGACATTGTTCTGCTTATGCTCCCTTTTGTTTACCAGATCAAACTTCCTTTAATAGGCGTTTCTTCTTTGTTTTTTTTGTTTTGGCACCTGGCACAGCAAACTGAACCCTTGACCTTGGTGTTACAAGGTGGCGCTCTAACCAACTGAGCTAACCAGCCAGCCCAAAGGAAGACATTGTAATGGTTCAGATGAGACCTGAGGGACCAGTGTCATGGCAATAGTGATGGAGATGTGGGAATGGATTAAGTAATATTTAGCAAGCAGAATCAACAGGACTTGCTAAATGATTAAATGTAGGTGTCTGGGCAGAACTGTTGGCAATGAAACCATTTACTAAGACAGGATAAAGTTAAGGAATAAGGAATGGAGGGAGGGGAAATGGTAGTAGTATATGTGTGTGGAGGGAGGACAGGGTAAAAAAAGGGAGATCGGTTCAGATATGGACATATTCACTTGGAGCTCAGGAGAAAAGTAAGTCAGGGTTAGTAATACGGAAGTCATCATCATGTATGTAGTAGTATAATGCATGGATACAATGAGATCTTTTTTTTTTTTTTTTTTTTTTTTTAAAGATGACTGGTAAGGGGATCTTAACCCTTGACTTGGTGTTGTCAGCACCACGCTCTCCCAAGTGAGCCATGGGCCGGCCCTCAATGAGATCTTTTATAGTAGAATCTGGAGGAACTCTGACATAATATAAAGCTGGGAAGCTGTTAATGGAGACTTGAGAAGAACTGATTAGAGAGGTGAGATAAAAACTAAGAAAGAAAAATGAGACAGAAATTAAGAAAGGAAGAGAATTTTAGAAAAGGAGAGATCAATTGTAACAAATATTGCAAAGGCGCAAAAGAAAAAGATAAGTTTGATAAATAGGTAATTGGGGACCACAGGAGGAACAGTTTTAGTAGAGTGGTGAGGACAGAGACGGAATGCAGTCAAGGAGTCACTGAGTGAGTGGAAAAGTCAAACTATTCTAGAAGTTCTAGAAGTGTTGGAAGAGAAAAGAGCCACCTACGTAAAAAGAGCAGCTAGTGGGGGAAGCACAGCTGAAGAAGGGTTTTTTATTTTTCTTTTAAGTAGAGAAAGACGTGCATGTGTTTATATACTGAGAAGAAAACGTTAATGTCGATCAAGAGGTTAAAAATGCAACAGAAAGAGGAAAGAAATGGTGGAAGAGAATTATCAGGAAGAAAAAGGGACAAGGGCCAGAGTGAGTGATGCATCAATCCAGCTTGAATAGGCAGATGCCTGTTCCTCAGGCAGTAAGAAGAGAAGAGAAACGAACACAGATGTAGATAACTGTGTGTGGATGGGTAGAAATGGAATTTACCTATGGTAGTCAATATTTCCTCTGGGAACTGAGAAGGGAGGTTACCTATTGAGAGAGGACGGTTAAGAAGGGGTTGCAGGCTGGAGGAGAATAGTGAAAGCATGGAACAGATGTGGAGGGAAAGAGAACTGAGTATGGATAAAAAGGAAAACTGCTGTGGAGTGACTGAGGGTACAAGCTGAATTTGCTTTCCATCAATTCTTCCGGTAATGATTTGTGACCTTTCTATAACAGTGGTTCTCAGCTGGTGGTGATTATGTGCACACACATCTTCACCTCCCTCCACTTCCCCAACCTCCACCCCAGAAACATTTGGCAATGTCCAGAGACATTCTTGATTGCCACAACTGGGGATAGGTGGGTGGGAGGGGGTTGTGTTACTGACATCTAGTGGATAGAGGCCAGGGATGCCACCAAACATCCTACCATGCACAGAACAGACTCCCGCAACAAAGAACTATCCAGACCAAAATATCACTATTGTTGAGATTGAGAAATCCTGCTCCAGAATAGGTGGCAGAGAATTAGATTAAGCTGCAGTTGGGCTTTTGCTATGCAGGTAGAGCAACAGAACAATTGAGCAAGGGGCTGTTTGTGGGCCGTACAGTTATTACTGAAGTAAAGCACAACAGGACTTAGATTAGAAGAGAGGAATATGACATCAGAAACTGATATGCAGCACTTAGAAAACTGAAAAGCTATGAATCTGTGGAGAAAAAGAAGAAGCTATAGAGATAACAATGAAGTTAAAGAGCAGTTAGATGTAAGGGGGTGAAAGAAGTAGAAGTAGATGAGAGACAGAGATGTCAGAGTTTAAGATTTTAGAGGTAGAGCAGTTTTAGGGGTTACAATCCCAGGAGGGACCTGAAGGGCAGGCAGCTGGGCTCGGAAATAGTATATTTTTATAAAATACCTGCCTGTAACACAAGCTGGCACTTCTAGAGCTTCTATAATTAATGAATAGACTTAATCAGAGTCCTAAAAGGGAATGCATCATCTTTTTTACCTGTCCTTCACAAGCTTCTTTGTAGAGTTCCAGTTTCTTCAACAGGTCCTCGTTTTCTGCCTCACACTCAGCCATCTTCTTTTGATAATATTCTAGAAGCTCCTGAGAAGGGCAGAGGAAAGCCAGGCGCTCTTCGATGGAAGGCAAGGGAGTTGACTCCATTGAATCTGCCATTCCCTGCTACCTGGGTGAATAATTTTATGAACTGTCAATGGTTTAAAGCTGGATTCAAAATACATGTTAGAGACTAAAAGGATTATTTAAAAAAACAGAATATAAACTAAGTAAGACAATCTAGTAACAATTAGAAAATTTCGTACTATAAGACATACAGCAATGGGAACAACCACATCAGATGCTAATCTCTAGCATTTGAGACATCACAGACTAGGACTAAATGTTATAAATGGCCAAAAGCTCTGATCAAAGACTGGATAAGAAGTTTTTGAGAATTAATCTAAAACAATGAAAGTTTTTGCTTTTGTTCAGCAGCTGGTTGAAACAATGAAAATTAGAAATAAAATGGTGAAGAAATAGGGAAAGCCTCCTCAGAAAATTAATCCACTTTCGCTGTCTGCAATTTACAACATAAAAAAGTAGACAGCAGAGTGGAGAAACTTTAGACCAGAAGCCCAGAGTTACAGTTAATGAATGCTGTTAACATACATGTTCACTTCTAATAAGTAAGCAATGTACAGCAAAGATATTAAAATTTATTATCAACTAGCATGAAAAAAACACATAACATTTTCTCAATCATTAAAAGCTCATGACACATTCAGATCTCCGTACTGGCCAGCTACCAAAAAAAAGTCATGACAGAAATATTATTTTACTTAATGTTTCATATTCTCAAAAGGGGTTGCCCTATCACAACTTCGGGAAACAGGTTAATAGATGAACTAAGAGGTACTTGTGAGATTCTGTGGATGAGAGCTGTGGCGCTGAGGGATGTGGATGATGTGTCCTGTAGCAAGTTGGTGGAAGAACCAGATTAAAAGTCCCAAGTTTGTATACTAGCTGTTTCCATGGTAATCCAGCATCCACTGGCACTGTGCGAGGCCCAGTCACACTGATTCCCAGTATTAACATTTAATATGCACTGATTTTTTGGGGTTTTTTTGTCCTTTTTGTGACCGGTAAGGGGATCGCAACCCTTGGCTTGGTGTCGCCCGCACCGCGCTCAGCCATTGAGCACACGGGCCATCCCCATATAGGATCCGAACCTGTGGCGGGAGCACCGCTGCGCTCCCAGCGCTGTACTCTCCCGAGTGCGCCACGGGGTCGGCCCTAATATGCACTGTTTTTTAACTAAATTCTTCCTAAGAATAGAGAAATGAGATCTGAGTACTTCAAAAAGCTCATGGAAAAACAGAATTAACTCAGTTGGTTAGAGTTCGGCCTTGTAACACCAAGGTCAAGGGTTTGGTTCCCTGTACTGGCCAGATGCCAGAAAAAAAAAAAAGAAAAATAGAATTAAAAATAATACAAACTTTTCCAAGAACTTTTTTTTTTTTTTGCGGCTGGTGGATGCATGGATCTGATCCCTTGACCTTGCTGTTATAACACCATGCTCTAACCAACTGAGCTATACAGCAAGCCCCCTCCACGAACTTTTTGAAGTACCCTTGTGTAATTCAAATCAAGATTTACATAGTATGTTTCCAAAACCCTTCTAGTTTCTATGCTAACTTGGATAAAGGCGATAGAAGTCTTGACTCCTTATTTTAACAACTCAAAGATAAGGAAATGTCTTACTTTCTGCAGACAGGGGTGTGTTGGGGTAAAATTCATGCTGTCTTTTTCACACCTATCAAACACACAGAAATTTATAATGAGGGGCCAAGAACAGAACAAAACAGTATAGGATGTACAGACTGGTTCACTCTCCAACATCATATTTGCCTCATGAAGAGAATGTGATGTTTTAAGATGCAGTATTCTGCAAAGTAGTTCCAAATCCTGAAATTTCATACCTTTTGAACTTTTATAAGGTCTCTTCCTCATTATTACTTTCAAATAAAATCAGCATGGCACTGAATACATGGATAATCACACTCAGGAAGAAAAAGTTCCATAATATGAATGTTATCCGCAACAATGCAAAAGCAAATCTACAATCCTTTCACTAAAATTATAGGAGAGGGAGATATAGAAAAGTTGCTAATAATGAAGAAAATGGAAATTAAGGTAGCGTACCCATGATGTCAAATTTAAGATCAATACAGAGCCACTGATATTTTTATTTGGTGTGCCTTCTCTACTGTTTTATCTTAGCAAAAGAAAAAAAAATTACGTGTAAGCTTTAAGAGGTTTGCTCACAATTTCCATCTCAATTAGTAATGTAAGATCTTGAATTCCTCTATTTTGAACCATCTTATCAAAATTTTCAGGAATGGGGCCGGCCCGTGGCTCACTCGGGAGAGTGTGGTGCTGATAACACCAAGGCCACGGGTTCAGATCCCACATAGGGATGGCCGGTTCACTCACTGAGTTTTTTTTTTTTTTTAAAGATGACCGGTAAGGGGATCTCAACCCTTGGCTTGGTGTTGTCAGCACCAGGCTCAGCCAGTGAGCAAACCGGCCATCCCTATATAGGATCCGAACCCGTGGCCTCAGTGTTATCAGCACCGCACTCTACCGAGTGAGCCACGGGCCGGCCTACCAGTCATCTTTTTTAAAAAAAAAAGAAAAGAAAGAAATTTCCAGGAAGATAACCCTTACAGATGGGGAGGGAATACTATACCATGTTATATGATAGAGACAGATATTTTATTAGCTTTGGTGAAAGCTTTCTTATCAAGCATGCTTTGTCAATCCATTCTGATTCTGAACAAGTCAAGAGATGATGTAATGTTCTTCTACCTGGTATATAGCTGCTTACAATCTTTAGTCCTTTGGGGGAAAAGTGTGAAAAGAGATAATAACCACTGTTAACTCCATTTTCCTGCTCAGAACCCCAGAGTGCCTCTCCTCACTATTTCTTGAAACCTGTCTTTATTAGGCTTCCAGGACACCTAGTCCTTACTGGTCACTACTTTTCAGTCACTGCTAGTTCTTATCTTTATCTACACTCACTGCCTTGGTGATCTCATGAAGTCTTATGGTTTTAAATACCATGTACACACTAATTTATACCTCCCGTCCTAACTCTGCTCTCCACTTTAGATTCACTGATCTAACTGCCTATTCTATATCTCCACTTGAATGTTAACAGGTCTCTAAAGTTTAACAAGTCCAAAACTGAGCTCCTGATATATACCTCCCACCACCAAAACCAGCTCTTCTCTCAGAATTCTACATTCTAGTAATTATTAATTCTATCCTACCTGTTGCTTGTGACAAAAAAAAAAAATTGGTTGGGGAACTTTTACTACTCTATCTTACATGCTACACTCAATTAGCAAATCCTATTGGCTAGAGCATCAAAATATCTAGAATCTGACAATTACTCATCACCTCTGCCATGACTGCCCTGGTCCAACCCACTGTTATCTCTTGCCCAGATGACTACGACAGCCCCTTAACTGGTCTCCCTGCTTCCACTCTCAACCCCATCCCTTATAGTCTACTCTCAACAAAGCACTTACATGATTCTTTATTATAGAAGTCAAATCCAAAACTCTTTTGCTCAAAAGCCTCCAGTGACTTTTCATCTTAATCCAAGAGTCAAAGTCTTTAAATGGGCTATAAAGTCCTAAAAATCTGGTTACCCCATTACCTCTGTGACCTCACCTACTACTGTTACCTTTGCTCACTGCTCCAAAAACACTGGTCTCTTTGCTGGTCTTCCAATACGCAAGGCAAACTTCTGCTTCAGAGCCACTGCATTTGTAGCTCCTCTTTGCCTGTTATTTCCCCACTTATTTATTTTTTTTTTTAGTTTAGTTTTTATTAGCATATTCATTGTTACAAATCATACTTATTCTTTTTGCCCCTTATCCAATCTCTCCCTTCCCCACTCCCCTTTCCCCATTTATCTATGTGGTGTGCTCCCTCTTCCCCTACAAGGCTCAACATGTCACCTTCTTGATGAAGTCTGCATGACCACTCTAGCACTCTCATCCACCTTCTCTTCTTTACTCTGCTCCATAACACTTGTCACTACCTGACATATTTTATTTATTTATTGTCTGTCTCCCCACACTGGAATGTGAAAACCCATCAAGGGCAGGGATTTTTATCTCTTGTGTTCACTGCTGTTTCCCCAGTCACTAAAATAGTACCTGGCTCATAGCAGGTGCTCAATATTTACTGACTATATTTTTGAAATCTTCCATATGAATTTGAAAGACTGTTAAACATCCGTTTCTTCTACTAGTCAGTCTGTCCAATCTAGCTCCAAAAGTCTATCTCTGCTTCTCTCATGCCACTTGCTTTCTTTTACAGACAGTCCTTCACATATGTCACCTTGCTTTTTCCAATTCTCTCCTTCAAACCCATCTCCTCCCACAAAACTTCCCCAAATTGGGCCAGTTTTCCTCTCATCAAAATAACCTAAAAATAAAAATGATTATTGGATTGGTATGGTAGGATTATGGGTGACGTCTTCATTTAGAAAAAACACCTTTACGGAGATATAATTCATAAAATTCATATAATTCACATCACTAAATCCACTCGTTTAAAGTATACAATTCATTGATTTTTAGTATATTCACAGATATGTGCAATTATCACCACAGTCAAATTTAGAACATTTTCATCACTTCAAGAAGAAACCCTGTGGTCAAGGGTTTGGATCACTTACCGGCCAAACAAAAAAGAAGAAACCCTGTATCATTTGGCTATTACCCATGCCCCATGTGTCACCCATATTCCCCCCAGCCCTAAGCAACCACTAATCTACTTTCTCTCTATATAGATTTCCCTATTCTGGACTTTCATATACATGTAATCATATAGTATATGGCCTTTTATGACTGGCTTCTTTCACTTAGCATAATGTTTTCAAGGTTAATCTATGGTGTACAATGTATCATTCCTTTTTACGGCTGAATAATATTCTATTGTATGGATATGGGTGACATCTCAAAGCTAAGTTTCATTGTTCTATAACTATTTAAGAGTAATGTACAACTAAAGAGCCTTCCAACCTGCAACCTCTCTTCTCTCTCACAGTGACTGTCCTCACTCCTCCTCCTTCATATGATTACTGCATATCTACAAAAAGTTGT